CTGCAGAGCTGGGCACTAAAAATAGTGGTGGTGTCGACCCCGCCCCCACCTCGGACCCAGCCCCGGTTCTTCAGGCAGCTGGAGGGGTCGCCGCGCCTGTTGGGGCCGCAGCTCGGATCAGGGCCACCTCCACAGCCATGTCGGGTCGCTCGGTGCCACACGCCCACCCGGCCACCGCCGAGTACGAATTTGCCAACCCCAGCCGCCTGGGCGAGCAGCGCTTCGGGGAAGGTAGGGCACAGGCACCACCCCGGCCCCCCACCCCCACCGCCTGAAATTCTGGGCTGCCCTCCCAACGCTCCTGGCCTCCACCCCACTCCAGGCTTAACTGAACTCCTGGGCGAGCTGTCCCCCACCCCAGACTGCCCACCCCCACCCCGGGCCAGGGCTCAGTCCCTTCTTACGGCCTATGCCGGCCGGCCAGGTGCCACAGAGCTCAGCTCCTGCCCCCCTGCCCCCTCGGTTAGCGTGAGTTTCTTGTCTGTCCACCCTGCCACCCTGCGGGGTCGTCTCCCCTCTCCTCCTCCTTTCCATTCTCAGCCCCTCAGCCTACTCCTAGCCACTGGCTCTCTCCCTTCTTCCCTCTCCAGACTACCCCCTGCTCCCCCTCCCCTCCCAAGCCACCCCTGTTCCCACCGCATCCTCCCTCCTCCCTTGACTTTCTCTCTCTGCCCCTCAGGTCTCCTGCCAGAAGAGATCCTGACCCCCACCCTCTACCATGGCTACTATGTCCGGCCACGGGCCACCCAAGCTGGGGAGGGCAGCAGGGCGGGGGCTTCGGAGCTTAGGCTCAGTGAGGGCAAATTCCAGGCATTTCTGGACGTGAGCCACTTCACCCCAGATGAAGTGACCGTGAGAACCGTGGACAACCTCCTGGAGGTGTCCGCTCGGCACCCCCAGCGCCTGGACCGCCACGGCTTCGTGTCCCGAGAGTTCTGCCGCACCTACGTCCTGCCTGCAGATGTCGACCCCTGGCGCGTCAGTGCCGCCCTCTCCCACGATGGCATCCTGAACCTGGAGGCGCCTCGAGGTGGGCGACATTTGGACACAGAGGTCAACGAAGTCTACATCTCCCTGCTCCCCGCACCTCCGGATCCAGTCGAAGAGGAGGAGGCCATCAGAGTTGACCCCTGATCGCCACAGACCCAGCACCCAGAAAATCCCTCTCTACTTCCTAAAGCGTGGTGTGGGCCTCTGCCCACCGCCCGGCGGTAGCAGTGTCTTCCTAGTGGGGGAGGGAGAAGCACCTGGTCCAGAGTGTATCGTTTGGTTCCTTGGGACATGTCCTGTAGCCTTTGGCTTAGTTCTGGGTAGAGCTGAATAAACCCGTCTCAGGGCTGCTCCCTGTCCTGTCTGTGGCCGGGAGGACGGGATGGGCAAGGAGGGAGGCCGGTGGAGCCAGCTCCACATAAAGCTCCTCAGTTAGATGTGCCAGCGTCATGCCACCCTGAGCTCACCCTTGGATGCTGAGATCACACCCGAAAGCTGCCATTGGCTCCACATCAAATTCGTAGCCATGATTTTCTCACAATACAACAAAAGAGAGAGAGTGATCCTGGCAGGGAAAAGGGACACGCCATCAAAACAGGCCAGAGGGCACTGTCTGAGCTGGTGATTAGAGACACAAAACGAGGGTCTCCGCACTGTCTGGCCCTCTTTGGAGAGGAGTTGGGAACATCGTTTCCGGCTGCAGAGTTGCCTACAACAAATGAGCAGAGCTTTCTTTTCCCCCACCCATGCTAAGGTCTTGTCCCCAGAAATTGTGTCTTGATTCAAATGAGGCCACAGACAGAGACTCCTCTGTCATGATCACCAAACCCCACCTTCCCCTCACCTCCACACAGCATCCCCCACTACGCCACCCGTGTTCTTACCAGTCTATGACGGAGACTTGCAATTCTTCCATGAAAGTGGTGGTTCTTAACCTTTTAGGGTCAACTTTTTGGGACCCCCCCCCCATTTAAAAATTTGACAAGAGCTTATTAATATCCATCCTAGAAAAATGAACACTCCTATTTTTTTCTATTTCCCTAGTGACTAAACTCCTATAGGAGTCAGCATTGACTCGATGGCAGTGAGTTTTGCGTTTGAGTGACTAAACAATATAATGAATTGGCACCTTTTATCCCCCTTCACCCAAGTTAATGTGAATACAAAGATGCACATTAATGTGCTGCCAAATTTGGCATTCACATGCCTTATAGGGGTTCTTGGATGATCAGGAGAAGAACCCTTACTTGAGGAATTCAATTTTTGGTTAAAGGTTGCTTTCTATTAAAAATGTAAGCTTGCTTCAGAAAAATAACTATTTATATATCCATTCTTTCCCCCTCCCCTCTCCCATCACTCAACAAATATTTACCAAACACCAGCTATTACATTATGGGGCTATATAAGAGATATATGAAAGTTCCTGGGAAAATTCCATTATCTTCCAACTTCAGTGTTCCATGAATCGGTTAAAGCCCCCTTGTGGTGTAGTGGTGACAGATGGGCTGCTAACTGCAAAGTCAGCAGTTTGAAACCACCAGCCCAGCGGTTCTCAACCTTTTGAATGCCATGCCGCGACCCTTTCACACAATTCCTCATGTGGTGGTGACCCCTAACCTTCGGAAAGCTGTGTTTTCTGGTGGTCTTAGACGACCCCTGTGAAGTGGTCGTTCAATCCCCCAAAGGGTCGCGACCCCACAGGTTGAGAACTGCTGCACTAGCCACTGAGAGGCTTTCTGCTCCCGTACATAAAGAGTTAGAGTCTCAGAACCCCACAGGGGCAGGTCTACCCTGTTCTATAGGCTCACTCTGAGTCAGAATTGACCCGATGGCGGTGATTTGGGTTTTGTACTTTGTAGATATAAAATGTAGAATGCTCATGCTCCTCTCCAAACCCGCTGCCGTTGAGCCCGTTCCTGCTCACAGTGACCCTCGACAGGGTTTCCAAGACTGTACATCTCCCCAGGAGCAGAGCCTCAGCTGCCTTTCTTGGAGAGGCTAGTGGACTTCTAACCTCACAGAAGTCCAGTGCTTACACACCAGTGCCACCAGGGCTCTTTTTGTATATTCCCAGGAGTCGTAATGTCTATTTGAGAAGAAAAATCATTTTTTTTAAATGGTCTTACTCAAAACTTCAACCAGAACAGCTTTGATAATTTTATCAGATTTTTACGTAAGCTTTCTAGAAAGGATTCTATAGCTAGAAAGAAATCCGAAAACCTCTGATCCAGTGCATTTTGCCACCATGTTCTTATTGCAGGGACATCTTCAGTAATGTGAAGTTAGAACTTCATCAAGTACCACATGCCTGTTTTTTTGACGTACCTCTAGTAAGTTCTTCCTTCAGTTCTTCCATCCATTGAGCCCAAATCCTCATTCCAGTGACTACTTCCCTTTGGTTCTGATTTTGTCTAGAAAAGAGACACAATCCTTCTTTCACATGAAAATCCTTCAGATATATTTTTTTAATCATTTTATTGGGGCTCATATAACTCATCACAATCCATACATACATCAATTGTGTAAAGCACACTTACACATTTGTTGCCCTCATCATTCTCAAAATTTGCTTTCTGTTTGGGTTCATACATACATCAATTGTGTAAAGCACACTTATACGTTTGTTGCCCTCATCATTCTCAAAATTTGCTTTCCGCTTGGGTTCCTGGAATTAGCTCCTCATTTTCCTTCCGATATTTTTACAGGCCATTCTGCCCATCTGTTCTCTCAAAGCTCTCATTTTCCTCAGCTAACCATAACTCGTTCGTTCAGTCATATTTCTTAACAACTCCCACCCACTTACTACACAGACAACTTTCTCTTGACTACATTGCCTTTTCATGATGCTACTTGAAATTTAGCTTCTAGGCCTCAAATTATTCTTCCAGTCATGGACTGGTGCAGACTTCAGTGGGCATTTCCCCCCCTTCGTTTAACATTCTAGAGTTCTGTCGCTTAAGCTGTATTGGGTCCCTGGCTACCACAATACACTATGGGTTTCTTTGAAGTTTGGTCTTATCTACATGTTCCTTTAAGTTAGAAAGGCTGTAGCTAGAAAGGGGACCAGATTGTTTGACTTTGAGTGCCAGGCTAAAAAGTCAGGATTTTACTCTGTGGTGTTTCAGGCGGGGAAAGAGACCTCAAATCCAAGTGTATTTTACAGAGATTCTTTTATTAAGTCTTAAACAGGATAAAGATAGGAGAACATGAACCATCTGGATGAGGGAGACCATTAGCACAACGAGATCCAAGGATTCACAGCTACATACTTAAATACGACATGTAAAACAGAGAAAATGATCACAAAATTATGATTGCTGGCAGATCAGCTCATCACAGTTGTAGGCGGAGCTACAGAAGCAGGACAGGGACCATGACGGAGACACTCTTGCAAATAAGAAAATTTCTTATCTGCAACAGGCTAGGTTCTGAGGCCCTCTGGCCACCGTAGGTGGGGCATGTTTCATACACAGGGGACCCTAAGACCCCAAGTTCCATCTTGCCCAGGCAAGTCTTCCAGGGAAAGCTGGCCTCTTGCTGGGTGGCCTGAAGAGTCCTAGCAAATCCACTTTAAATACACTGGGGACTAAGCTTTGTCAAGGCTCAGAAAGAGCTCCACGGAAGTTGAAAATCTATCCAGAGAATCAAAATGGATGTAGGTCTCCCACTGCACCCTGGGGCCTTCCAGAAACCAGGTGCTCAGAGAACAAACTGGATTACAGGGGGAAGATTGGCCATAAAATAATAAGCTAGTTACATGAGCTGAGCACAAGTTGATCTGACTCATAGCATCCCCACAGGTCAGAGTAGAACTGCTCCCTAAGGTTCTACAGCAGTAAATCTTTACATCAGTTAGCAGTTGAGCACTTAACCACTGTGCCACCAGGATTCCACCTGAAAACATATCCATTGCCATCAATTCAGTTCAGACTCATCACATAGAGTTTCTGAGGAAGTAAACCTTTATGGGAGCAGACAGCTTCATCTTTCTACTGAGGAGCACCTGGTGGGTTTGAACTGCCAACCTTGTTGTTAGCTCCTTGGAATGCCTGTGAGGGGCACGCAAATAATCAGGTATCTGGGGAGTCAAGGTGGAGTGAGAGCTCTGAAGACAAACCTTACAAGTTCCATGAACGCTCCTAGAGCCTCTGTCTTCTGTTGCCTGCCCAGGTCTTGCTCCAGTGACTTAAAACACAAAGACTGAATGAAAGTGAAAGGGGAAAGCTTTACTTTGGTTGATCAAGCGAGGAGCAAGCCGAGACCAGAGTTGCCAAGGCCAGCTCCGGTAGAAAGGGGATTTGCAGTTTTACGTGAATACCAGGGAGTACCTTGAAGAGATCATGAATAGAGAACAGATTTTCCAGGAATGATCACGGATGTGCATTGAACCAAGACTGTGAGACTTGGCCAGGAAGTGGCTTGTTGGACTCCTCCCTTCTATGTGTTGTCCAAGTTGGTCTGGCAGCATCTTTCTGGTGCCATTTTGCTCCTTGACCAAAGTTCTTTTGGTCCGGGGCCAACTGTAGGTTGAGACTGTCCTGTCTGAACTTGATCAGCAGGCAAGATTGTTCCTAAGTAATACTCACTCGCTGTGGTGGGACACTTACCCTGGAGGAAAGCACCAGAAGAAACAGGTTATCAGGAAGGAGAGAACAGGTTAATGACGGGCAATAGATGATATTTCAACATCCTGTGACAATCTCGCTCATGTCCTAAGGTTCATTGCATAAACTATGGGTTTACAGCGTTATATAGGACTAAGCAGATTGAGGAGTGGTTCTACTTTTTTCCCCCCTATTTTTTAAAATCATTTTATTGTGGCTCGTACAACTCTTATCACAATCCATACATACATCAATTGTGTAAAGCACATTTGTACATTCGTTGCCCTCATCATTCTCAAAACATTTGCTCTACACTTAAGCCCTGGGCATCAGCTCCTCATTTTTCCCCCTCCCTCCCTTCTCCCCGCTCCCTCATGAACCCTTGATAATTTATAAATTCTTATTTTGTCATATCTTACACTGTCCGACGTCTCCCGGAGTGGTTCTACTTTTACAGACGAATTTGCTCCACTGCATTCTAGCTGCTGGAATGAGTCTAGCTTTCAGTCCTTGGAAGAAACTGGTCTGAGCAGAAAGTGGAGGTTCTGTAATTGTGCACATGGGGAGCCGAGTGGTTAAGTGTGGAGGAAGCCAGGACAAGTATGGAATCTTATGCCTTTAGACCAAGAAGGGAATTATTAATAAGTGCACTTCTCCATTTTATAGTCCTAGAATCTAATGCCCTGAAAAATTTAAGTGATTTGCCCAGTAATGCCGACGACCAGGCAGAATGTATCAAAGGAATCCATTTTCCTAAACCCAAGGTTCCTAGAGACTGCAGTAAAGAGCCCTGTGCTGGTGCAGAAGGCTAAACGAGCTGTTCACCGGTTCAAGATCACCGGTTCTAACCCACCAAGCACTCCATGAAAGAAAGACGAGGTCCCCTGCCCCTGTAAGAAGGGAGCCTTTCTCCTCTGTCCTGTAGAGTAGCCAGGAAATGGAATCAACGGCAGAGCAGCGAGTGGGTTTCCAGATTCCAGTATCCAGCCCTGAATCTGGCCAGAGATCTCAAGACACTGGCACCTGTTACTGGGAAAGTAAAGTTCATTTAAGCCTTTGTAGTGCTGAGGAAGATGGGGCTAAGACTCTTTACTCCATCAGAGAAGAAAATTTTTACACAATATGATGTGGTGGGGAAGCATTTCCAGAGGAAATCCTGAGCCCATTTCTATCTCAGATTTCTTTTTATAGAAGCTTGAAGCTCAATGTTTCTGACTTTGTCAAAAAGTCTTTCCAAAATCCCAAAGGTGAGCTAGATCTCACCTGGAGCGGGTGCATGCCGTTCAACCTTTAGCAGGGACGACGTCACCTGGGAATCTGTCCAGCAGGTGGCTTCCAAAGTCCAACCTGCTTAGTTGAAATCTGACACTGACAAAGACTCCCTGGGAGCTGCCACTGAAAGCTAAACCGGGAACCAGGAAATGCTGGAGCCTCTTTCTGTAGAAAACAGCTGGGCTTCCAACTAGCCGGAGCACCATGGGAAACCAGCTCTGCTGCGGGGGAAGCTGGTGAGTAGGGGGAGAGGGCGGAGGAGGGTAAATCTGCTTCTTGGGCGTAGAGGCTTGATGTGGACAAGAGAACCCTTTTGTTTTTTTAATTGCACGCGGGAGTAAGAGAGAGGTTGGAGATAAGTCAGTGCCAACCTCCCATGCCTGATTTCAGCACCAGAGTAGCACCTCCTCCTGGGCTGCCAGCTCTCAGGAGACCTCAGCAAGCACAGCCATGCCAGCTGTCTGTAGAATAGCCAGGACCCGCTGGAATGGCGAATAAAACCTTGTTTCTCTGCTTCCTCTTCCTCTCTGCTTTTCCTTCTCTCCCCTTTCTCTTTCCCCAGAAACAGTCCAAATGTTGAGAGCTTGTATACTCTGTGACAGGCATTGTACCAACAATTTCACTCCATTTTCTCTTCTATGAGGCAATTCGAGGGGCCCTGGTGCCATAGTGGGTTACGGCTTGGGTTGCTAACCGTGAGCTCAGCAGTTCAAAAACACTAGCCATTCTGTGAGAGAAAGATGAGGTTTTCCACTCCTATAAAGAATTACACGCTCAGATACCCGCAGGGAACGTTATAATCTGTCCTAGAGGGTCGCTAAGAGTTGGAACTGACTTGATGGCAGTGAGTTTCATTTAGGAACCTCAGTGGTGTAGTGGGTTACGAGTTGGGCTGCTAGCTTTAAAGTCAGCAGTTTGAATCCACCAGTCACTCTGAGAGAGTAAGATGAGGCTTTCTACTCCCCTAAAGAATTATAGTCACAGAAACCCTCAGGGGCAGAAATACTTTGTCCTCTAGGGTCACTACGAGCCCTCATCACCTGGATGACAGTGAGTTTGGTTTGATTTCATGAAGTGGTTTTCTCTCCCCCCAGTTTACAGCTGGAGAAGCTGAGACTCAGAAAAGTCACTTGCTGAAGGTTTCGTGACTGTGATGATTCCAAGCCAGACTTCTCTTCAGAGCCCGTATTTTTAACTAAACCACTATATACTATTGCCATCCAGAGCAAGTAAATCTGCTTGGAGAAGTGTCTTTAAAGGGCAGAAATGGGAAGAAAAGGAAGATTACCCAAAGGATATCTGAATATATCTCCCACCCCCCTCCATCAACTCCCCCACCATCCCCAACACGTATGCTGGGTGATCTTAGGCAAATCCCTCAGCTTCTCTGTTCCTCATCTGTAAAATCTATGACTCACCTTGTTTGCACCACAGATTTGTTTTGAAGGACAAAGAAAACCTCGTCATAAGTTATTTGCGGTAGTGTTTTCATCACTGTAGAGCCTTCGACCTGGCTGTATCCTGTCTGCTGTCTTCCTTGCTACCCCATTCCATGCTTGAGTCATACTTTGAGGTTGCTTTGCTTATTAATAAAGCATCGTCATATTTAGATGCAGGGCAGGTACACTGGAAAACATGAGATTTGGAGTCAGTGCATTGGATTTATGGCATGTCCCTATTATTTATTCATGGACCAAACAAATATTTATCAAATATCTAGTGTGTACCAGGCACACTAAGTGCCCTAGTGGTGCAGTAGTTACAAGACGGGACCACAAGATCCCCAGTTTGTAGCCACTGGCCACTGAAAGATGAGGCTTTCTGCTCCCGTGAAGCGTTACAGTCTCAGAAACCCCCAGGGGCAGAAATACTCTGTCCTTACCGAGTCACTATGAGTCGGCATCAGCTTCATGGCAGTGAGAGTGAGATGCGCCAAGCACAGTGGTGGCTCCTGAAGTCTTAGTAATAAAAAGGAAATGTGGCCCCTGCCGATGAGTAAGAATATCTGGATATGCTAATGTCTCTGTTTCTCATCTGAAAATTATCAAGAATATGACCCACCTTGATTACATTGCAAAATTTGTTTTGAAGAGCAAAAAATAGTGGGTGTAAGAACCCAGTTGCTCCATCTGTAAAATCGAATGACAATACGTGTTTCCCAGATTGTTGTCAGGATTCTAAACCACGCAACTCGAGCTGCTAGAACCCTCTTCCGTCTATGTGATGTCCTCTGGGTACAGGACATCTAGAGACCCATACAAGCTGCGGAAGGAGGCGATGTAACCATTTGTTTCATTCCCCTTCTTTCCAAGGCTTCACATGCTTCATGGCAGGTCATTTCTTCCTAGCCGTAACAGCCATGTTGCAAATGCTCATTACATGCCACGTGCTTACATTTAACTTTTTATTTAATCCCTGCAATCATTCCTAGCGTTTACTTTCTACTATTTCCTTCATTTTATTAACAAGGTACCAGAGGCTTGCCATGGTTAAAACTTGTCAAAGGCCACATAGCTGGCAGATATTAACATTCTGACTCTGGAATCCGTACTAGAGCCATTACACAAGTCCCTAACCAAACCCTATTTTTCCTCATAAGACATTACTTTTACTGTAAAAAGTTTACCCTAAAAAGTTCATTTTTAAAATTACTCTCTCCTATTTCCCATTACGTTAATAGACCCCCAGAGACTTATATTATGACAATTCTAGAGTTTTGCATTTTAGAATATTTTGATATATATATATGTCTTATTACAAAAGCAATACTACATAGTCACTGTAGAAAATTTGGGAAATATCAAAAAGTAGGTAATAAATAAACTATAAAAATAAGCACTCAGATGAGGTAAGGGGGGGAGGGGATGAGGGAAATGAGGACCTAATGTCGGGGGCTTAAGTGGAGAGGAAATGTTTTGAGAATGATGAGGGTAATGAATATAAAATTGTGCTTTACACAATTGATGTATGTATGGATTGTGGTAAGAGTTGTATGAGCCCCTAATAAAATGATTTTTTTTTAAAGATCCTAAAAAAAATAAATAAGCACTCAGAAGTGACAGGAACATGTTAGTGTATTTCCATGCAATCCTTTTCAATGCTTATATGTACAGTTTCATTCACAGCATATATATATATACACACACACACACACACACATATATGTATATATATTTAACTGAATAAGGAATAAAATTTTCCGTGATGATAAATGTTCTTCTTCCAACAACTTTTCTAAATGGCTGCCCAGTAGTATCCAACCAATTGGAAATGCCATTTATTTAATCAATTCCCAAATGTTGGGTATTTGGGATATTTCTAATTTTCGTGTTTATAAATGGTGCTACAGTGAGCATGTAGATGTTGACATATCTTACTATTTCTTAGGATATGGAATTTCTCATCATAGGGCACATGCATTGATTTAGGAAGGCTTTTTAATTTGTTGGTAATTTAATTCTAAAAAAGATTGCAACCAGATTTATCCTTCCTACCAGTGTAGGAGAATGCCCAGTTATTTTTCTTGATTCTGAGCTAAACACAAAATCCCGTCATCCATAAATCTACCTGCATCCTCTGGGCTGTATTCATACACTCTGTAATAACCAACCTGGAAACAGGCTCTGCTCGCTAAAACTGGGGAGACTAAATTCGTGTCTCCAAATCTATATGGAAGTATTGCAGAATTACTATTCTGACTTTTTTTCTAAAATAGCATATTATTGTGTTTTCAGTGAAGGTTTCCATAGCAGTTTAAGCAGTTTCCACCCAATGATTTCTTCACAAATGCTCAATGACTTTGGCTACTTTCCTCCCAGTGTGTAATCACGAATATTCTCTGTATCCACTTCAACGGAAGTAAGTGGGACTCAAGTCTAAAGTGGACGGAGAACTGAGACTAGGGGAAGGATGGAGAAAATTTGGAAAATATCAGTGAGAGAAAGCAAGAACTGAAGGGCCAAGGAGCGGGAACAGTGAGCTAGCAGAAAGCCACAGAAGCAGTTCCCAAGTGCTCCTTCTGAACTACCTGCAAAGTCTGAATTAAAAACAGAAGTCATTTTTGCTGAGTAAACAACTCTGTCTCAAAAGGACAAACATTGTGCTCTAGGGAGGTCCGCAATGCAAAACCACCAGCAGCTCCTTCCCCAGGAGAAGACTGGGCTTTTTACTCCCTGAAACAGTTACAGTCTTGGAAAGCCCCCAGGGAGGTCGCTGTGAGTCAGCCTTGACTGGATGGCAGTGAGTGTGTTTGTAGCAGGGGCAGGGTGGGGGGAGGAGGGCTCCAGACTTGGTGACACTGAGCTTCTTCTGTCAAAGGCGATGGTATAATTTGGGACAAAATCAATATGATCACTGAATGACACGGTGAGCATAAATCACTGACCGATACATGTGAAGATTGCTGAAACGTTAAGGTTTTATTTAAAAACACCACCCCCCCCCCAAAAAAAAAAAAAACTCCTGGGAAGTGTGTGTGGAAAAATCCTGATTTTTGCTTTTACTACAGTACAGTAGTAAACTCATCATGACTTAACAGTCCTCTCCCTCTGTCCTTTTAATTAATTACAAAAGGAAACTTCCCTCAGGGAGACTAGAAGTTAGATAACTAGGGTTGGCTCTGGCGAGAGAGATGGAAATGTACTAGCAAGAAAAAGCATCCAGAGTCAGTCCCCAACTATTCAGCGAATTTCCTAAGAGCAATGTTGCTTCTCCGGGCAGATCACGTAGACACACAGGCTCTACTGGAGACCCCAAGGGGCCCAGAGGTGAGTTCAAGAGGTTTGTCTGTCCTGGGCCCTGGGTGGGGCAAATGAGTCATTCACCAAATTCAGCCGTGCTGCCTGTGTGGTGGACAGAGTTCTTGAAAGGATGTGAAAGGTTAAACATCTCTCATTTGGTCTGCTGATCAAAATCAAGGCCAGGGAAGCCATTTCTTGGAAAGGGCTTTGAGGGAACCCAAACCAGTTAGTCCTGGTTTTGGCAACTTCTAGTGACTGCCAGCATAAACATCCAGGGGACCCCCACCCCTCTCTGAAAAAAGCACTGAAGAAGCCCAGTGAGGTCTTTGAATCCAGCTCTCTCCCCGTATTTGGCAGGTTCCCTTCATGCTCTGTTGGGACTGGCCTGTTAGACAATTCCAAATAGTTCTTAGCCGCATCCCTGGCCTGTAGTGCCTTGTTGCCTGGAGTTATATTTTGGATTTGGTTATGTCAGATGTGCCACACCACCTTCCAGGACCATCCATTTGGGAGAGGTGTGGTGCTTTTTATTTTTCTTTTAACATTTTATTATGCTTTCAGTGACAATTTATGAGCCAATGACCTTCCCACTCAACGATGCACACACATTTTAGCTTGTGACATTCATTGCAGCCCCATTAATGTGACCGAACTCGGCCCATTTTCTCCCTGGGCTCCCTGTTTCCCTTCATGTGTCGTTGGCACTGCCGCCTCCTGTCTCCTGAACGCTGTTTTTGGACAAATGTTACCCTTTTGGTTTCCTCTGGTTGACCGTTTGAGGTCTCCCATGAAGGTTCTTCTCCTGTCTAGGTGTGGCTGCTGTCTGGAAGTGCATCCAGATCCAGGTTTGAAGGTTGTCTAAAGGCCATCATCTTGGGGGGGGGTGGGGTGGGGGTGGGGGGCTCTGAAGTGCTTTAGAACTTGACTCAAGATGGGTCTTAGTTAGAGGGAGGTTAGAGAGTCATCCCAGAATGTTAAATTACAGAGTAAATAAGGAGGCCTGGTGGCTGTTGGGTAAGCGCTAACTGCAAGTTGGCGGTTCAAGCTCACCAATGAGAAGGATGAGGCTGTCTGCTCCTGTGAAGATGTTCGGGGTCGGAAACCCTACAGAGGGTCCCTAGGAGTCGAAATGGACTTGATGGCACTGGGTTTGGCTTTTGGACAGAGCAAGTAATGAAGGAGAGACACTTACATATGGGTGATCTGTTGATCTGTTTTTCCTACCACAGGGGAAGACCATCAGCTTGCCAGAGGAGAAGTGAAACAGGTAACTGTGTGTGGGGAAAGCCGAAGAAATCAGGGAGGGGGGAGGGGGGGAAATAGAGACGACAACAGACTCTTGTCTTTGAAAAGGGTGTAGGAGTGTAAAAGAAAAGTGACCCTGGACGGGGTAAAGCGAGAAAGCATGCAAAAGGGCATCTTCAGTATAAACCAGCTCAGAACGTGTGGATTACTCTTTCCACTAGAACAGCCATTCTCAACCTTCCTAATGCCTCGACCCTTTAATACAGTTCATGTTGTGGTGACCCCCCCCACCAACCATAACATTATTTTCGTCCCTACTTCATCACTGTCATTGTGCTACTGTTTTGAATCGGGTGACCCCTGTGAAAGGGACGTTTGACCCCCAAAGGGGTCGTGACCCACAGGCTGAGAACCGCTGCTCTAGAAGGTTGGCAGTTGACTTGATGGCTGTGGGCTTGCTCAGGGGGTTTTGGTGTATTTTGCATGTGGCGGCAGAGAGGCACAGTAAGCAAGCTCTGTGTTGGCCCTGAGGAATCGGAAAATCAAGTTTGTGGGGTAGATATGTGTGAACACATAAGGACGACCCCATCTATGATTGTTGTTAGCTGCCCTCGAGGTGACCCCAGCTCATGCGGCCTTGTGCACAATATGACTGGACCGGTGTTTTCACTGGCTGATTTTCACAAGTAGATTGCCAGGCCTTTCTTCTTCTTCTTCTTCTTTTTTTGGTTGCAGAAGCAGAAATAGCTTTATTGTGGGAGGGGGGAGCTCCCAGACGAGGTTCCGTGACCTAGGCCAACAGGTCAGGGAAGTCGTCGCCAGGCCTTTCTTCTTAATGCCATCCTCCAGCACTGGAATCGAAGCCCAGGGATGCCGGGAGAGCACGGAGGAGGACAGTGATGTTGACAGAGGGGTGTACTCTAACAAGGCAGGAGAGGAGGAAGGAAGGCTGTTTCAGGCAAGGGAACGAGAAGAGCGAGAAGAGAAGAAAGGAGCGGAGGAAAGACGAGGAGGAGCCGGACCTGATGGAGCACGGCAGAGAGTTTGATGCAGCTGAGCACGTACCACACGTTGGTTCACTTTGGGTCTCCCCTAGTAGACTCTCAAGGAATCCTCGTGGCACAGTGGGTAAGTGCTTGCCTACTAACTTCAAGGTAAGAGGTTCAAACCTACCAGCTGCTCCATGAGAGACCTCGGGGGCAGTCTGCTTCTGTAAACATTTACCACGTTGCAAACCCTACAGGAACAAGGAGTTTACAGACTACTTCCTACTTATTTTTCTATCCCCTGGGCCTGGCACAGAGAGCCTGGCCTGGGATGGGATGGACTCTCAACATCTATTCATTTGCTGAACTATATGTTAGGGGCTGTGAAAAATGAAGATGTAAGACGTTACAGTCGGATTATGAAAGGCTAGATTGTACACCCCACTGAAGACTTGGGCTGTGGGAAGGCAGACGTTTAAAGAGGCGCAAATGCAAGCAGATAGAGGAGCTGGAAGACTGCCACATACGCTTACGAGAGACGTTGGAAGGGAGCAATCTCAGCATAGATAGGGACAAGAGATCATGGATTTAAGTTGGGCTTCTTTCCCTTAAAGGAGTCCCTGGGTGGAACAAATATTTCAGCACTCAGCTACTAACCAAAAGTTTGCTACTTCAGAGGTACGCAGAAGAAAGTCCTGGCACTTCTGCTTTGGGGAAAAAAAATCAGCCTTTGAAAGTGCCATAGAGCACAGGTCTACTCTGACTCACGTGATCAATGGTAACTGGTTTGGTTTGGGGTTTTCTTCCCTCAGGGAACCAAAAAAGACAGCCATCGAAGCAGCAGCAGCAGCCACCGGCACCGCCACGGCCTCCCAAGCAGCAGCCACAACGGCAACAGTGGCAGCAATGCCATCGACTGAAGAATGACACAAAGGTAATGACAGGCCTCAGCTCAGACGTGGGAGCCCTGTACAGAGCCTTTTGACCTTAGGAAATAGACCAGTAGGACTTGCTGGTTCCACCCACCGCCCCACCCCCCAACGGAGGGATGTCAGTGTAGGCCCTGACCCTTCAGTGGAGGTGAGGGGCAAAACCAAGATTCCCCCTTTATGCTGCCCATTCCTCACAGGGCCCTAAAATACCACGACGTCTGTGTGAGTGGGCGTCAGACCTGCGCCAGCCTTGCCGGAATCAGCCCGGGCCTAGCACGAGCGCTCCACACTGCAACTCCGAAGACAGCAGCGTCCACTACGCAGACATCCTGGTGTACAACCAGACCAGGAGCCGCACCGTCCAGCAGGTGAAGGAAATGCAAATAGAAAATGCCACCGAGTATGCGACCCTGCGCTTCCCGGAGCCTACCCCTCGCTATCACAGCAAGAATGGGACCCTGGTATGAGCCTGGGGGCAGGAACTAGGTTCTACCTTTCACTACTACCTCGGCAGGGAGAAGCTGCTGCTTTGTGGAGTTGGAGAGCAGCCCCTGCGACACTGAGCAAGTTTATTTTCAAAAAGACAAAACCCCTATAACCTCGAGCCCCTGGAACAGCGAGGATCTCCCACCTTTTTTTTCCCTGCAGCCGAAATCATATTTGCTGCCCTGAGCTGAGAGCTATGAAGGGGATTCGCTGGAGGCAGATGGCGTTTCACAGAATGAGGAGGCTGGGTTGAGTGAGCAGGAGGGTGGGGCTCCTAGGTGTTATCCCATAAGCTCTTGGGGCGACTTTGTTGGACTTTGTTTAATGGTGTGCTCATTAAACACCGGAAATTCCAAACCTGAGGAAGTAGGCAGAAATGTATTCTGAGCTTTTTATATACAGATACGTTAGTATTATACCTCAGGGTTGGGCTCATGGCTCGAGCCCTAACCAGGCAGGCCTGAGGCCTGGGAATATGAATGTCACTGTTACTGTAACCTCCCTGGTTGAGCTGTTGGCTGTCACGGGTCCAGCGCAGCTAGGATCAATAAATTTGCTTCCTGAACATGCCTGGTGCATTTTCTGGGGTGGGAGACCTACGTAAGGGCAACAAGAGTCCCGCTCAGACAAAGGACATTCGGAAGTCCCCGGCCGGCAGAGGCCAGCACACCTCACTGCACTGGGCGCAGCTGGAGGCGGAGTCACGGCTGGAGGCCCTGTGGGGCTGAGGTCCTGCAAGCACGAGGTGGACGCACGCCGGCAGGGGCGGGGCCCCGTCCAGCGGGGGCGGGTCAGAACCTTCAGGAGGCGGGGCGGGGCTTGGCTCAGCAGGAGGCCGGCCTCGGACTCGCAAAGGGTTGGCTCCACCTGGCTCGGGGCTGGCCAGGCCTAGGCCAGCCTCCTGTCACCATGGCAGCGGGAGCGCAGCAGCGACGCCAGACTAGAAGGCCGTGCCTGCGAGGGCTCGGGACCGCGATGCTGGACCAGACCCGGTAGGTGCTGGAAGGTGGCGGGTAACTGGGCAGTAAAAGAAAGACTCTAACACTCTCCACCAGTCGAGCGTCCAGGTCAGAACTGTGGATGCGAGACAGACAGGGGAGGGGGGACACACAAACAAAACCCACCTCACTGCCATCTAGCCGATTCCGACTCCTAGCGACCCTATAGGACAGGGAAGAGCTGCGCCTGTGGGTTCCTGAGACTAACTCTTCAGGGAGGAGAAAGCCTCGTCTTTCCGCGCAAGGTGGGATTGAGAAGACGTCAATTACGGAAGTTTCGGGGTCTGCACCTGCTTTGAGCCTGATGAGTTCTTATTGTGAGTTCCTGATTGAGGCTTTCAGAGCTGGGAGACGAGATGGGGAAAGGTAGCTCATTTCCTTTTCCCAACGGATGCACTGTCCTCCCCAAATACCACTGCCCCCTCCCTGGTTCGCGGAGAAGAAGGATTTCATTGTGGGTGGGTGGAATACTAAAAAGAGAATCCTAGCATAAAACACGTTGGTAATAATACTCTCGACCTTGTGGAGTGCTTGAGAGTTGGAAAACACTTGGAAAAGTATGTCAGTGTTGATACTAATCCTACAACCATCATCCTCGCCAGCCTCCCTGTTTTCTCAGCCTGTTCCCTGGGACAGACTTCGCACAGGTGGATGCACAAGAGGTGGGTTGGGGGACTGCCTCCAATGCTCATGGGTGGAGCAACTATCAAGGTTGTTTTCTTTTTTTAAATCATTTTATTGGGCCTCATACAACTCTTAACACAATACATATATCAATTGTGTAAAGCACACTTATACATTTGTTGCCCTCATCGTTCTCAAAATTCACCTTCCGCTTGGGTTCCTGGAAACAGCCCCTCATTTTCCTTTTTCCCCTCCCTCTCCCTCCCTCATGAACCCTTAATAATTTATAAATTATTATTTTATCTTATCTTACACTGCCCAGCGTCTCCCTTTACCCATCCTTCTGTTGCCCATCCTCCAGAGAGAAGGTTATATGTAGATCCTTGTAGTTGATTCCCCCTTTCTACCCCTCCTTCCCTCATCTGTCCTAGATTCCCTGTGTTTCCAGTTCCCATCTGTACCGCTGTGCATCCTCTGGTCTAACCAGGTTTGCAAGGTAGATAGTTGGGGGGAGGAAGCGTTTAAGAACTAGAGAAAGGTTATGAGTTTCATTATTGCTACCCTGAACCCTGAGTGACTCATCTCCTCCCCACTACCCCACTGCAAGGGATGTCCAGTTGTGTGCAGATGGCATTGGGTCCCCATCACGCGCTACTCTCATTCACGATGATATGATTCCGCCCCCACCCCTCTACCCCTGCCTTTGGTGCTTGAAACCTGGTCCCATTGGCCGTTCATGATCACATATGTTGGTGTGCTGTTTCCATGTGGTCTTTGTTGCTTCTGGGCTAGATGGCCGCTTGTTTACTTTCAAGCCTTTAAGTCCCCAGACGCTATAGGTCTCGATAGCCGGGCACCATCAGCCTTCTTCACCACACTTACTTATGCACACATTCGTCTTCAGCGTTTATGTGGGGAAGATGGTCACAGATTGATGTTTTTTGTTCTTTGGTGTCTGCTACCTGATCCCTTCAACACCTCATGTTCCCCAAGGTTGTTTTCTATAATGGGCTGGTGTAATAACGAAACTGTTTTTGTCTAAGGGCTGTTTGCTATGAGGGTCAAATAAAATGATGTCGGTGATAATAATGTTGTAAAAGAAATTGATAAAAATTGCCATCAAGTTGATTCTGACTCAAAGATGATACAGGGCAGAGTACAACTGTAGGGTTTCAGAGCCTAGGTCTTTACTGGAGCAGACAGCCTCATCTTTCTCCTGTTGGTGGGGTGGGTTTGAACTACCGGCCGTGTGGTTAGCAGACCAACGTTTAACCCCACTATACTGCCAAGGCTCCTGAAACTCCAGTTTACTATATTAAAATTTCTATCTTGCAATATAAATGCTGCCCTTGTGAGTTAAAAATGAAGTCTTAAGGGTCGAGAAAAGTGCAAGCCAAAGCCAAGCGGAGCTGCCAGCATTTCTGCCAACTATCCTCTGACTACTTCCTGCAGTTCTCAGTTGCTAGGTGTAGGTAGCAGGGATGATGCAGCCAGGCTTAACTCATGATGGGGAAGCACCACTTTTTATGACCACTAAAGCCTAAGTGAGCCGATTATAGCACAGGGATAGCCCTGTTGTGATGATATTTGGGGGTGGATTTTCCACTCATCAGGGCTCTGTTTCTGATACTTGAAAAGGTTCAAGTTGGTAGGTTTGAAGCAGGAGCCTGACCCCACTAGGGTGGGTTGACCTCCGGGGATTTCTTTCCTGTGCTGTATTTTTACACATTTCTTCCTCTTCCTATTTTTAGGTGGCCTTGATTCAGCTCTTCTGGGGACTAGGAAGATGGGAACCCAAGTAGTTATGAGACTGTGTAACTCCTTGCTGCCAGCAGCACCCTCTGTAAGTTTCTAGTATACTGGTGAAGACATGTCCTGACATTGCTGACGACTACTAGACTATACCATCAGGACTCAGATCCGAAAACAAAATTGTGACAGATTGCCTTCTTTTCTTGTGGCTATTCAAGTTCACTGGGGCCATCCTGTCCTGGAATTGATTGAATTAGGCAGAAGTTGAAAGATTCTAGCCATCAATCAGTCATAGGCATTATTTAAAAGATTTAGCTAAAAAATGTTTTATACAGAATAATATACCTTAATTACAGAGCATTTGGGAAATATTGCAAACAGTGATCAATAAAACAAAACAAAGCTGTCATTCCCCAATCCAGGAGCAAAACTGCTCTAAATATTTTGGAAGATTTTTTTCTAATCTCTTTTTTTGTCTTTCTATGTTTGACTTTTACATACTTGAGATCATCTCATGTGTGCACTTGTTTATTTTTTCCTTTTCCACTCCCCATTTGGCATTACAGAATTATGATGTGTTTGGTAAACGTGATAATGTTTGTAATTTGGGGGTCATTCTTGTGTGTGTTGGCCTTTAAGGTTGTCCTCCTCCCCTTTCCCATTGGACACAAGTAATTTGTTTCTCCTTTAAATTTCCCTCCTGGATATTTTCTGGATGTGAAATTCCTTGGCCCTGTTCCTTTGTGAACATTAAAATAATAAGTTACCTTTTAAAAGAAGGCTGTGTAGTGTCGGGTTTTGTCTACATCCTTCAGAGGAAGCCAGATGCAAGTTGGGAGAGAGAAAGGCCCTTGTTAGGAGCCTGACTAGGTATTGCATGGAGAACCTGAGCCCTGCAGAAAGATAATTTCATGTTTTCATAATTACCCCTTTGGAGCCCTGGTACCAATGGTTAAGCAGTTAAACCCTAAAAGACTGGCGGTTGGAATTCGCTCAGAGGCACGTGGGAAGACAGGCCTAGTGATCTGCTTCCCCAGAGTGTACAGCCCTGCAAACCCTATGAGCAGGTCTACTCTGCACACGAGGGGTCAGCATGCATCTGCATCGACTGGGTTACCACAGACGACTGCACATTATTATTGGCAGTGCAGAGACAGTGATGCATGTGTTCTTAGCAGAGAACCTCATGGATCGTTTCCAGAAACATCCACCAGATGTCACTAGTCTTAATTTAATCTTCATCCACTGAAGAGCTGTCAGATAACACTTGAATATAGAGTTTAAGAAATTCAGGTAGAATATATTTGCATATATGCTGATAATCAGCACTAGAATCTGGTGATTGCTTTGCTGGTACCCTTCTCTAATCTCTTACTAGTCTCTTTCCCCCTTTTCCTTTTCTTACCCATTTGATTTGTCACATCCCATGCACTCTAATATTAACCTCTCAACATTACCAGTCCTTCTTCCAATCTTCTTCCTTACTCTTATGTGTGTGTGTGTGTGTGTGTGTGCGGTGTCCCTATGTATAACTGTAAGTTTATGAAGTGTTTCCTAAGAGAACCTGGCACAAATGGGTACTTGACATATGCTTAATGAATGTTTATTTATTTATTTATTCATGAATGTTTAATGTAAGGATGTATGAAGAGGGAAGTGCAGAAGGATACATATACCTGACTTGGGAATACAATGATTCATATTCTCAAGTTAACTGTTAACTGCCTGCTAAATGATAGAGAATAAAGCATGCTCGGACCTTCATTTATTCACCCAACACATAATTGAGCATCTGCTGTGTGACAGGTACTTTTCATGGCCCTAGGATGAATCTTCAAACACAACATACAAAATCCCCTACCTTTGTGGAACTTAGCATTCTGGGCAGACAAACAAATAAACCAGTAAAATATAGAATATACAAGACAGTGATGAGTGCTGTGAAGAAAAAGATAATTGGGGGTGGGGTGGGGTGAGGAGGTGTTGTCCTTTTAAATCGAATGTTAGAACAGGACACGTGGATAGAGACATTTGAGCAGAGACCTACAGGGGGAGTTGCAATGAACCATGGGAGATTTGGAGGCAAATGCTCCAGATGGATCTAAAGCAGTCCGAACTGCAGAGTGGTCATGGGAATTTCAGGGGAAGCAGCACTGGAGCTGGATGGTACACAGATTCAGGGTAGCAGCAG